CTGATCGGTGTTTTAGCATTCAACGATGGACGGAAATGGATCTGCTAGGGCAGTAGTACGATTGGTCTGAATTTTAAATTTCGAAAATATATTTGAAAATTCTAATATTATTTTTCGGTAATTACACTTATACCTTAAATATTATTGTGTATTTTTTATATTATAGTTGAAGAAGAAAATGGGATTTTTTTTTTTTTTTTTTTTTATCTATACTGAATTTGATAGAAAATTTTTCAATTTTGGAAATGAGTTCTTAATTTCGATTTCAGAAATTTCTATCTCTTACTTTTGCGATATATTTCAGAATGAAATTGGTTTTTTTTTTTTTTTTTTTGCTTTTAGAATAAGATTTAAAAAAATCGTAATTTGTTTATAATAATAATAATAATAATAATAATAATAATAATAATAATAATAATAATAATAACTAGTTTATCGAGTCTCACCGAATTATAAACTTTATTCTTGTTTTATGTATATACTTTATATTCAATTTTATTTTATATTATTTTAACTTCCAAAGGCCAAAACATAATAAAATGGAAGGATCTTTTTTAATGCTTCAAAGTTCAAAAAATGGAAGGATCTTTTGTTGAGAAAAAAATGAATTAATTCAAAATTATTTAAGCCGGATAAATAATTATGAATTTTATTAAAGTTAAAAGTCCAAATCCAAGATCTAAAATTTGTGGTGATGCTAAAGTTAGATCACTTTTGTTGAGTTGAAGTAGGATGAGATGGAAGAGCAAAGTTGATCGTTGGCTTACGAATTTAATGACTTTGAGATACATGCGATGATAGAATACGTAAGCTAAGCCGGATTGATCCGACAGAAACTCCTCTGACGCTCAAGAAAATACATGTTCCAGAGAATACATGTTGTAATATTGCTCACATAATAAGACGTACCTTACAGAATAAATTCAAACATTTATTTATACATTAGTTGAGATTGTCGGGCCCAAACCTTAATTGAAGTCGATTGAACCTCGGTGGCAGTAATCTTCAATATTGGGCTCATAGTCCATTATATAAATAAATTATAGGCTCATTCGATTGGCCGAATTAAGCATATCAATTTGGATCCAATAAACCCAATTTCTAGAAACTAATTCTAATTCTTTTTCCCTAAAAAAAAGTATTCTAGATATTTTCAAATATATGGATACTTAGGAGGATAGTTTTAATAAATGAATAATAATTGTTAGATTAAAATTACGTTCTTACATTAATATTAGCCGCTGATACTGTTACTTAGTATAAATACAGGTACTTGTACTAACTTATATATTAAATTTAGCAGATACATCAACAATAAATTTAGGCGCAATTTGCTATAGGTTTATTGGAAAAATGTCAATCACAATCAGATTCCATCTGATGTGCTGCTATTCGTTCTTCAAATTTTAGTTTTATGTATCCATCTCGGTTCACTGCCTAGCAAATAGAATTAAACCAAACTGCAATTCACATGAATATGTTTGATTATTAGATTGTTGTTATAGGATGTTACCTCGTTGTTCTACTTCGAGAGTTTTTTTCTCATCAATGATCGTGATGACGTGTTCACTGCCTAGCAAATAGAATTAAACAAAACTGCAATTCACATGAATATGTTTGATTATTAGATTGTTGTTATAGGATGTTACCTCGTTGTTCTACTTCGAGAGTCTTTTTCTCATCAATGATCGTGATGACGTTGCTACGCAACCAATCTTCGGCTGCCATACCAAAATCCTAATTAGAATTTGTTAGAAATTAGGATGAAATAATGTTTACTTTTTGTTGTTGATCGAATATTTTGCATAAATATAAAGCTCAAGTAGTTTTACTACGAACTCTTCTTCCCCAATTGGTAATTAAAAGTATTTGAACTAACTTTTAATTAGAGTGATAGTTTTTGAAATTGCTTAACCAACATGCAATCATTTCTAATAATCCATAAATTAAACATAAATTTCAAAATTAATTCTAAAAATATTCCGATTTTTTTTAAATATCGTAAATATATAAATTATCTAAATATATATATTTCATTTATATATATGATAATAATTAATATATTTTCAACCTTAGACAATTGCTGAAAATATTAAAATAAACTAAAAATGCATTTACAACTTTCAGTAATACACTGAAAAATAGCCAACTTGAACCGATTAATTGATGAGTTGCTGAAGATCCGGTTCACCACCACTAACTCACTCCGACAAAGTTTCCCCCAATTTTCTAACACAATTGAAATACTGCCGCCGGAGAAAAATCCTCGTAATCATCGAAGACAAATATATTTCTGCCTTGTTCTTCTTCTTCTTCAATGGGTTTGCTTCCCTTTGCACATCAAAACCCAGCTTAAACCCGCGGAACCAAAACCCTAATTTTGATTTGAAAACCCTATTGATTTAATTCACTTGCAATCGAAGAAAAGCGGCAAAATTCAATGTCGTCCTTCAATTTGTTAACGGCGATCACCCCAAAATCTGTATCCAACCCTAACTCAATCTCGTTCATTTCTCAGCTGAACCAGTTTCCCCCAATTCTCGAATCTTCGACCCGAAACGGAATCCGCGAGCTCCGTCCGATCCGTAACGGAATCCGTGAACTCCGTGAAAGAATTGAATCAGTAAAGAAGACGCAAAAGGTAACGGAGGCGATGAAGCTAGTGGCAGCAGCTAAGGTGCGCAGAGCCCAAGAAGCAGTAATTAACGGCAGACCGTTCGCCGAAACCCTAGTCGAAGTTCTCTTCGACATAAACGAACAGTGTCGATTGGACGACGTAGAAACTCCGTTAACAGCCGTTAGGCCCGTCAAGAGAGTCGCCCTGATAGTGATCACAGCTGACAGAGGACTCTGCGGCGGCTTCAACAACGCAATACTGAAAAAAGCCGAGTCCCGAATTGCCGAATTGAAGAATCTCGGATTGGATTACACTCTCATCAGCGTCGGCAAGAAGGGCAACGGGTATTTTCGAAGAAGGCCCGAAATAAACGTGGATAAATTTGTCGAAGGCGATAGCTTCCCCACTTCGAAAGAAGCGCAAGTAATCGCGGACGATGTTTTTTCGCTCTTTCTATGTGAGGAGGTCGATAAAGTCGAGCTTTTGTACACAAAGTTCGTTTCTTTAATTAAATCGAACCCTGTGATCCACACTTTGCTTCCTTTGTCCGCAAAGGGAGGAGTTTGCGATGTGAATGGGAATAGTGTCGACGCAAGCAACGACGAGTTCTTTAGGCTAACGACTAAAGAAGGGAAATTGAGCGTCGAGAGGGGTTCGATTAATAAGTCGCCGAAAATGTTGCCTAATTACGAGTTCGAGCAGGACCCGGCGCAGATTCTTGATGCTTTAATGCCGCTTTATTTGAATAGCCAGATTTTGAGGGCTCTGCAGGAATCGTACGCGAGTGAGCTGGCGTCTAGAATGAATTCGATGAGTAGTGCAACGGATAATGCTGTGGAGTTGCAACGGAATCTTTCGACCGCTTATAATCGGGAAAGGCAGGCGAAGATCACAGGTGAGATACTAGAGATTGTTGCTGGAGCTGAGTCTCTTAGGGTTTTGTAATTGGATTTTCGTTTCCTAATTCGATCTATATTCCGGTTTCAAAATTCGAATTGTTTGTTGAAGCGGTAGCACTCGATAACTTGTATCGAGTAATTTTGAAACTGAAAAGTTGGGTCTTTTGTTTAATAAGAGAAATTGTTGTGATTGATGGCTAATTAGATACAGAAAAAATATTATTTAAACAAGGTTATTAATTTATGGAGATTTTACTGTGAGTAGTGTTGTTGTGTTCTTTATACTAATTCCAGGGCTAGTGCATACTTGCCCGTCGTACTTTTGTTGAGACGATTATGAAATGCTAAACGTCGTTTTAATTTTACCCGTACGGTTCGTACTTGATATGTGATTTTGACCTTTTCGTAGTTCGAATTTGGCTAGACTTGGAACACCAAATTTATGGTCCGTTGAATTTGCTTTCTAATCCAACTTGGATCAACTAGATTGCATGTCGGTGGAGAGAGATATGCATTATTTATGAATTACAGTCTGATTATGTGAAAACTCCAAACTCACTCTTCATTCATTCATACATATCTTTCGATTTGACACATTCGATCTGGCTGGTTCAAATTGAACTTGAAAGTCAACTCAAAGTACTGTAAATGCGGTGTTTTTGAATTATGCCTACCCTCGGTTGAAATTTTTTTTGAATAAAATTAAAACGACATTTAACACCTCCCAGACGATTAATATTGCAAAATCTACAGTGAATTATCCGTTCTGCACACACCCGCATGTATATGTGCGTGACTGTGTGCAAATTTACGGTGAATTATTGCCCTATGCAACGAAGACGACCTCGTGAGATGACAAAATATGGTTACAATTACATTATTCGTCCAAATATGGTGGAAAATGAAAAAAAAAAAAAAAAAAAAAGAGAAAAACAACGGTCGAAATATTAATTTGTGGATGAGTGAATAGAAACGAGTCAATGAATCTGGTCAATTTAACATCAGAAAACTCCAACAAAATTCTGGTTTTTTAGCTTTATTTGAATTTATTATTTTGGAACAATGTGTGTGTGTGTGTGTTTTTGGAATTATATTGGGACAAAGCGTGATATATTTGCAGGGATAATAGTAAGTCGGACAAAACCCATCTTATTCATCACGGACTTTGTAAAACTGCAATTGTCAAAAGAATTCCATCCGCTAAATTTTTTTGGAAATTTAATTGTTTTTTTTAAGCTAATTAAAGAAAAATATAACGACATGGCTCCCCGAACATTCCCGAACATTTCTTAAATCACCCATAGCTCTTTGTTGTCTCCACCACTTTCTGAAACCAATAGTCCGTTAGAACCCTATCGGAATAACGTATCCAATTCATTATCCCATTAGAGTTTCTGACTACGTTTCAGGGGGCTGAGTGTAGTTATCGATACCACAGGGACCTTACAGTTATTTAAGCTTACCTCAGGGGGGTGCGTGTAATTTACCCAAAAAAATATAAGGACATATTTTAACCTCCTTTTAAACCAAACTCTCTTGACCGTCCAGAGCATCAGTCGCTCGCCGGAGAAGATAAACTCGATGAACATCAAATATAAATTTAGAGAGAGAGAGAGTTCGGAAGAGATTATGTGTTAAATTCTTATCCTAATAGGGTCCTTACATTTCTCTACATTAATTTTATATAGATGTTTTCTAATTAGAAACTTCTTGATTTAGAATCTATTTATTCAGATTGATTACGTTGATTGCTCAATTACTCATCTTAATTTACATGTTTTATTTATCTATTCATGAAGAGTTTCTCCGAGTCTTCTGCTTTTAACGTCTCTCGTTCAGCTCGCCACCTACCACTTTTTACTACTATTTTATGTAAATAGATGCAGCGATGAAATTTATTCATGCGAGCTCTATATGTTAAAATATTTATCGTCGAGCGTCTGGTTAACCTTGATTCTTGTCATTCATTGGACTTTTGGCCCAATAAACTTAGTTTCGAGTGTTCGGCCCAAGCCTGCCAATTTGACCCCATCAGGCTATATTTAGCAAAATGTTTATTGTTTATAAGCATAAATGCATAATCCATTCAACAGATTGAATTAGTTGAATTGTAGGGAGGACCTCTATATTTCAATAAAATATTAATTATGTCGACTTATCAAAAATTAAAAAAATTCAAAATTAATTAAGGAGATTAAAATAAGATTAGTGACGTCAACAGCATATCCCTAAGAACGTGGCCACCATGATTTGATTTAATTATCCTCATAATTAATCTGCTCAACTGAATAATTTGGTGACGCTTCTTTCACTGTCTGCAGAAAGTTCAAGAAAGTGTGGTCCATATGTTAATTATATGATATATTTATTTATTTATATTTTGAGAAAAATATTAATGATATTTTTGTGTGTAAGTGACAACTCAATATATTTCACTTGATCCATTATTATTTCACATATTTTAATTATTTATTTTTTCTATTTTAAGATAAAATAAGTCCATTTTAGATCTCTCTTTTTTTTTCCTTTATCATATTCTTTTATTAAAAATATATCTTTTTACAATTGAAAAAGTACACATGGGTATAGAGTATATCCCACCTAATTTCTCTTCATTACACATTTTGAGTGTGTCCAAATTAAATTTACTCTCATATATACATATAATGAAATAGTATGCCCTCATTAATAAATAACTTGATATACGATGATCGAGTCAAGATTTTAAATTCAGGGATCAAATACACTAAACTTTTTATAAAGAGGGTCGTTAATGCTATTATAAAAGAAATTATATTTATACAAAAAATAATAAAGATTTGAGAAATGTTTCCGCTTATAAGACCGCGCCCGCCACTATTAATATATGCTAATTAGATATTAGATAAGAGATAATGATGCATGAACATAGGTGGGGATGAAATTGAATGAAAATTAATTGATTGGTCATGTAGTAATAATAATACATGCAACTAATGATTTAAGACCACATAATTGGTGAAGCAAAACAAATGTCTAAATTACATGAACTTTAGTTTTAATTATTTATTCCAATCTAATGAAAAAGGAACAGAAAAAAACACAAAAATAATGATGTTCCAAATTATTAAAAAAAAAATATGCATGCCACTTGTCCCACCATGAGAGCATCATAATTTTTACATTAAGATATAAGATGTATAAAATTGGGAAAAAATAAAAGAATGATAATATGATATTGGGAGGGCCGCGGGCCCCCGCTCCCCCGTGCTCTACGCAGGCTCCGTCACTGGCCACTCGTTTTATAGATATCGTAATTACATTAATTAAATATAATTATTACAAATCCAAAATAGAGCATCCTTATTAACAAAATAATATATTTGCAATATGTAGGACCTCCTCCCTATTTTTATTTATTTATTTATTTTGGGCAAGTGACCTCATCCCTAATGTTTGTCCTAAACGCAGGCCAATAGAATTGCTTCAAAAAATACTTTAATTCATGTCCGTTGAGGAATCTTTTAGGAATATTTAAATTATAAGTTGATAAAATATCACATAAATAAATTAAAGGGTAATTACAACTACACCCTTAAGGTATGCTAAAATAACTTTAAGGTCCTTGTGATATTGATAATTACAGTCACACCCCTGAAACAATTACCGGAGCCATGATTTCATGTCATGGGGACCGATATGCGCTATATTTGTTTCCCACCGGGCCATTAATTCTACCATATATAGACGAAAATTTATAAATCTTATATAAATTAATAAGTATTTAAGAAATGTTATGAGAATCATATCACCATCTAGCTCTATGTCTGAAACTAATAGTCCGTTAGAACCCTAAATAAAATAACTTATCCAATGCATTATTCCGTTAGGATTTCTAACAATGTTTCAGGGAGGTGATTGTAATTACTGATACTACATGGACCTTAAAGTTATTTTAGCATACCTCAGGGGTATAAGTGTAATTTACCCTATATTAAATGTAATCCAATTTGACCATTCATACCATCAATATTTAAATAGAGACAAATGTAAAATGAGACCAATTATTGGTGCAATAATATTTTGTCACTATATATCCTATATCCCACCCCTAACCTTTTATATATATATAAATTACCTCATTAATTTGCAGAGAATCCAATCCCACAAATATAGCAAATTAAATGGGGAGCAACAACAATATTTGGAATGATGAAGAACTCCAAGAAGAAGATGTTCTCTGGGGGGCAAATAGCAATTTCGGAGAAATTAAGGAATATTCCGCGAATCAATCCCGGGCCAAAACGACGAAGATGCCGAAATCCAACATAAGAAAGCAATACAATCATTCCGGAGTTATTAATCCACATAGTTCGTCGTCGGCCCCCGTGGAAGCGCGGCCCGATTGGTCGAAAGTATACGGTACATTTTCGACGCAAAAGACGAACTATTATTCGTCGGAGTTAAGCGACGACGATGACGATGACGAAGAAGGGATTAATAGTGGTAATGCGGTCCCGCCGCACGAGTGGCTTGCGAGGAAACTCGCGAGGAATCGGATATCGTCGGCTTCGGTTTGTGAAGGTGCTGGAAGAACACTTAAAGGGAGAGATTTGAGCAGGGTGAGAAATGCTGTCTTGACCAAGACAGGTTTTCTTGAATCAAAATCCAATAGCCAATATTAATTAGCTTTTAATTATTTTTTTTTGTTTTAATTTTAGTAGTAATTAATGTAATATATATGTACATTAATATTAGTGTGGTTGTTTTTTTGTATATTATGTAGTTATGATGCTCTCCATGCAATAATGGTGTTTTTGTAAGATTGTTTTGATTCCCATTTCTGCTTGTATAGTGTGGCTTAGGAATTTAATATTTTTGTAATATTTGATTATTTTCATACGAAGTAAGTAAATAAATAAATAAATTATAAAGTAAACAGTATAATATATGATTTGGATTGATAAATGAATATGGAGTTGTATAGTTTAACATGCAACTTTCAAATCTATAAATAAATTGGGTATAGTAAAATAGCTCAAATTTGGTCCGACTCTCTAAAGAATAGGCTCGACTCAAATATAATTGGATTGAGTCATCGGGCTTCAGTTAAACCCGGCTCTATTGCCGGTCTTAATCCCATCTTAAAATTTAATTGTAATTAAAATAAGTCGTTTGTATAGCCTAAGTCGTAGGCCTACCCAATAATAATAGCCCAACACTTGTGGTATTGGGCCTAGGCAAGGTAAGTGTTGTGTTTAATAATCACTCAAAAGTTTTAATAAATGTCCGTAAATTAATAAAGTCGTGACTAACAAAATTCAATTAACTTAGCAAAATATCATTTTATCGAAATAATAATTTAGTACTTTCTTCTTATTGTTACTGTACAATGACTAGAAAAAATTATTATTTAAGCGAAATTATTAATCTATCGAGATCCTACTGGTACATCGATCATTACAAACTCGCATATTTGAATGAGTCCAACATCTAAATGGATTTTTACTATATTAAAAATAAAAAAATAAAAATCCAAATAATTCACACCAACCCCTCATCCATAATTATTCAATTTCACTAAGTTACATTATGTGACATATATATGATATATCAATGACCTATCTACCAACCCCTTAATTAGGGCCCTTCATTTATTTATTTAATTATTTATTTTCTAAAAGAAGAATAATAATAAGTGGGAAGAACTCCACTATCATAATTCATAATTCATAACCCCATAAAATCATTTCCCCCCCACTATTATATATTCTGCCATTGATCTCGTCCTTCTTCTTATTCTCCTCCTCTTTAATTTAATCTTTATTTTTTAATCAAGACATACTTGGAGCTAATTTATTTATTTTTATTTTAAATATATATATCTATGAAGATGGGGTCTATTTTTCTCGATGTATCTAACGGCCTCAAAGCGTTGGATTTGTCGCTGAGATTGTTCGTTATTCCTTTCAACGTCGCTTCGATATGGATTACTGTTACCAACCATCAGGATAACACTGTTTATGGCAATTTAGAGTTCAATAATTTCAAAGGCCTCAAGTAAGAAATTTTATATATAATATATATTATTATTTATTTAATTATTTATTTATTTAATTTAAATTATTTGTGATTTGGGCAGGTACATGGTTTGCATCAGTGCAATATCTGCAGGATATGCTTTGTTTGCTGCTGTTTCTTCATACCTCAAATGCTTACTCACTAAAGCATGGCTTTTCTTTCTCACTGATCAGGTTTCAATTAATCTTATAAACATTAAAACAAATTTAGAATTAGGCAATCAATTTTTTAAACTAAATTAAAGACCTATTATTTAGTTCTTTAATTCGTCGAACACTCGAAATATTAAATATTTAAATCTTTTGAATGTATGTTGTTGGGGGGTCTTTATCTATCTTCCAGACAAAACATGGATTATTTATTCTTTACTTAACTTTATATTATATCATTATATATGTTTAAAAATTTAAATAATAAAACGTAAATACTATGTGTTTATCTTTTCCATATTATTTTTTAATGGTAACGTCACTGATAAGTTTTTTTTTTTTTTTTTTTTAAATAATTAATCAGGTATTAGCATACCTAATGGTGACGTCACTTGCAGCGACGTCGGAGTTTCTATACTTAGCCTATAATGGTGACAAAGTCGTTTCATGGAGCCAAGCTTGTGACACTTATGGAAAGTTCTGTAGTAGGTTGAGAATAGCTTTGGTGCTTCATATAATTGCCGTTTGTTGTTTCTTAGCGTTGTCCGTGATTTCTGCTTACCGAGTCTTTAGGAGATTTGGACCTCCGTTTGTTCCTTCCGAAGAGGCTGAACATGCGAGGACTTAGAACTTTTTTGAGGATTTTGTGTTTGTGTACTAAAATCGGACTTCAAATATTACATTTTATTTTACGATATGTTTGTCAAAGCTTTTGGAAACGGGCTACTGAGTCTTTTTGGGCTTACATTATGTTTTTCGGTGTCATTGTTGCTGCATATTAAACAAAGGTGTTTTAAGTTTTAATTTTAGAAGCCATCTTTAATTAGCGAATTTGATATAGATAGCAAATTGCTTCTTGTCGAAAATTCAGCCTGTTCATCACCAGCTTCATTGTTTTCGACGGAAGGGTTTGACCCAATGTCTACATCAACGAACCCCTTAACCACCCACTTTCCTTCCCCAAATTTTGTTACCTTTAAACAAATTTTGATAGACCAACATGATTGCAAAGTTTGGAGCTTATAGATGCCTCTAAGCGAGTACAAGATTTGCATAGATAGATCATCTTTATTATTATAATTTTATAGTATAATATAATAAAAATATAACTATTTGTTATTAGATTGTTTTCATAGATGGTTAATCAAAGATGGACATATGTAACAGTTTTTTTGTTTTGATGGATCGAACATACATAATTTAATGTATGTATAAATTTATTTGGTTGGTTTGTAAATGAAATTAACTCTTATATATAGTACTTTCACCTAATTAATTAATGGTGTGACTGATTTAATCACACGATTAGAAGCGACTACATTTATATTCTAGTTACATTTCGGAAAGAAGTATATAGAGGTTTATTGGGTGATCTTAAAAATATCTACAATGCGGTGACAAGTTCCTAGCTACCTATAGACGGACATGATGAATCATCAAAACTATTATACGTAAATTTGAATAGGAAGCATACCTTAAGCTATAATTTATCGGGATTGATGTCGAACGATCATGGATCTTTCTGAAACCTTTTTATCGATAGAATGCAGAAAAAAACGTATTAACGTATAACATAAGACCATAACCAATACCAAATAGGCCATATTGTATTAATATTATTTTAGCTCATCACCAAAATAAAATTACTCAAATGTTCAATACATTAAAGGCACACACCGTACAATGCACATTTAATATGTTGCTTATGAAATCTTAAATTAAATTAATTACATATTCTAAGGATGCAAAGTGTGATTAATCCCACAATTAAAATCACGAGATGTTCACGACATCCTCTTATTTTTCATATTTGCAGGTTAAATTTTACCGTCACAAGTAATTTTCATTGTAATTTTAGAACTTCCTAAATTTTTCAAATACTAAAATTATACATTATTATTATATCGATTTTTAGTTTTGTATATTTGAAATAATTATTATAAATAATAAATTAAAACAAAAATTATATATACTTTTCGGCCCATTCAACCCGAAAGTTCTTAGGTGGGTCTCCTTTGCCGTGATTTGGGTTTTTTATTCTTGATAAATCCTTAATTAATTAATAGTATTTAAGATAAATCCATTGAACTTAAAAACCCATATATGCCCCTACTTATTAGTATAATTATTAAATTAAATATTAAGGTAAATTAATACCAAATATCTCCCAAAAATAAATCAATTCTAAATCAATCCCAAAATCACATTGCCCTATAATTCGCCCCTCTTCCCCCAAATCACGGTAGAAAACATAATCGTATAACATGCAGTCTTTTTTTTTTTTAAATAGTTTTTTTATATTAATTTAAAACATAAGTTTTTTTTATTTTACTTTTTTAAATGGTTCATATTTAAAAAAAATTAAAATCCACTACATACACATCGAAAACCACTAAATTTATCGAAAACCACTATGAAATTAAAATAAAAAATACTATAAAATAAGCATAATCCACATTAATATTAACATTATCCACTATGTAATTAGTGAAAAACCACTATGTAATTAGTGAAAACCACTGTGTAATTAGTGAAAACCACTATGTAATTAACAAATTTCATTACAAAAATTCACTAAAACCACTACACACTTATCGAGATCTACGTAATTCACAACGCATTAAAGTAATCGCATATATATATATATATATATATATATATATATATATATATATATATATATATATATATAACTGTTTGTTTCTCTCAATCTTTTCTTCTCTATTCCTCCGACCAAAATCACCGGCGCCGTAATATTAGTGCATTTTGACACCAGCAAAAAAAAAAGAAAAAAAAGTAGACAATAGTGCAGTTCGACGGTGAATTTGAGCAACCAACATCCAATTCCGACACTCCTACAAAAAAGCCAACAAGTGTAAATTGATCAGATTAAGAATATATATTTTTTTTCAAATTAGTTAATTAAATATGACGAAATTAAACAAAGATGAGACATAGCTTTCTAGGCTGTATTATCCATCAATTGGCAGATAAACTGCTCAGAGCCCAGTGCGATCATCATTTCAAAGCAAACAATTCTCAATCAACCAAATAAAACAAACCGTGAAAATAAAAATAAATAGAAGAGAAAAACAATATTTAAATATTAGTTTTAAAAATGTTAAAGGGGTATTCAATATTCCTTCCCGCCGCCATCACCGAGTTACTGCCGGAGATAGTCGCCGGAGTAAATTTGGATCCGGTGTCCTATATGCATCTGCTGCAGGAACTGCAGGACACAACTCTGGGCTCGATCCTCTCCGCCTTGCTCCCCCACTGTCTGCCGCCGCAGCGAACTTTTCTGTTGGACAGAGGTGGTGGTGGTGGTGGTGGCGGGGCAGGGCAGCATAGGTGTGGTCTGTGTTGAAAAGGATGAACGACATATCTAGGGTTTGGGTGTGGGACATAACAGAAAAATATTGAATAACTGAGTATAAAATATAAAATATAAAATAAATAAACGTGATAAGAGAAAAGGTTATAATTGTCAAACTATATTAACTTTTATTAATTTTAATTGTTTTGGATTTAACTCAAAAATAAGAAAAAAATTTGGACTTAATGTAATTAGAGGGGGCTAATGAGGGGTGTTTTGTATTTTAATTATCCCTCTCTTTTTTCTCCACGCGTGTAAAACGACGTCGTTTTCTTCTCTCTAATCCTTTTGCGATACAAATCCTTTTCCTTTTCCAATTTGTTTATATATATATAAATAAATCAAAATTCGCCGTCGAAAGAATCATAGATTTTCTATCCGAAGAAGATTGAAGCTTTATGGGTGGTAGCCGATTCCAAATTGATGCCGATTTTCAATCCGAGAAGGTGTGCTTACCAACAAAATTTCTGTCCTTTTTTTAAACATTAAAGATCAAACATTTAATTTTTTATTTTTATATTTTTTAAAATATCATGTTGTATGTTGTTTGTTTTGCTGCGTATGATCCCCAGTAACAAAACCCATAGCTTCTGCAATTACATAAAGACGTACGAGGGTTTTAAGTGGTGTCTGTATTTACCCAAACACTAGGGGTTTTTTCGTAATTTCACATTACCTGAAGGGGTGACGCGTAATTATATAGTATTGAAAAAAGTTGCCAACTTTCTTCTTATTTCATATTTGCATTGTTGAGTTATCTTCTAATCTACTAATTTATCTTGTTTGGTTGATTTTGACAGTGTGTTGGTGACACAAGTTCTGCGGGCGATGCTGACCGGATAAGTCGGTTGCCCGACGACATTCTTCTCGACATACTGTCTCTCTTGTCACTCAAGGAATCCGCACGCACCAGCGTCCTCTCGTCTCATTGGATCAACTTGTGGAAACACACCCCATCCCTCGACTTCGACGATGCTCAAGCTTCAATAGACAAGCTCTACAACCAACCCGATTTACGCAAGGGCGAGAGGCGCAAGTATATGAGGTGGGTTGACTCCGTTTGCCGGTCGCACGAATCCCCCACCTTGAAAGAATTCAAAATCCGTTTTCCTATAAACCGATCGACCAGAAACGCGAAATCAATCGCCCGTTGGCTTAGATTCGCACTCTCCAGACGTGTTCGGCGCTTGGAGTTGGACGTCGAAGACCTTTACGGTTCGTCGTCCAAAAAATGTTGCTTCCTTAACAAGTTACTTAACCCCCGTACGCTCGTCGACTTCGGTTCCCTCAAAGAACTCATGTCTCTTAATAACGTCGACGTTAGCGACGGAACGATCGAGTTCTTTTTAAACACCTGCCCGCTGCTCGAGCGCCTGATTGTCCGTTTCTCGAAGCAGATGTCGAGGCTAGAAATCTACGGTCCGTCCCTCGTATTAAAACACTTGGAGATCAAGTTTTGCTTAGGTTTGGAATCGCTTAAAGTTTCCGTGCCGAGTCTTACGTCACTCAGCGTCACGAGTTTAAATGGATTGTCACTCGAGAATGTTCCGATGCTCGTTGATTTATCGGTTCACGTTGTCGACGACAACACTTCACTATATCGTTTGTTTCATCGACTGTTGTCTCGCTGCATCTCTCAATTGCAAACGCTACACTTGTCTTTGAGCAACATAGGGTTTTCCAGTGCGGAATTAGACGAGCTTTGGGAACTTCCTCAAATGCCTAGACTCAAGAAGTTGGTCATTGAATATTGTGTAAGAGGCGATAAAAGTCTCGTTCGGCTCGCCCCTTTCATACAGGCGTCTCCTTACTTCGTCGATTTTGTTTTACACGTAAGCCGCCTGCCTGCTACTATATAGAGCTTTTTATTAATTTTTAGCAGTGTTTTAAAAATCGGCCGAGGCGGCCGATTAATCGGTTGCCGAGGGGGAGGCGGTCCAAAACCTTTACGATTTTAGTGTAAAAGTTTGAAAAATCGGTTTTTTGTTTGTGAGGCGGTTTGAGGCGGTCCGAGGCGGTTTGAGGCAGTTTGAGGCGGTCAAACCTTTTAGGCGGGTCAAACTTCGGTGGCAAAAAATCGGTCAAAAATCGGGTTTTTTTTTTTTTTTTTTTTTTTTTTTTTTTTTAATAAATCAAAATAAAAGTTGGGATTTTAATAAAAAAAAATGAGTTTATGCTTTATTTTGTTTATGTTAATTATTATTGTTAAAGAACTAATGATGTATGCCAAGACTGTATGTAAATTCAAAAAAAATTGCCTTTTTATTTATATTTTATAAGGATATTTATGTATTATGATCTTATTATTATTAAACTTTGGGAAAATTACGGCCACCCCCTTGAGCTATGGTGAAATTACGAAAACCCCCCTCATGTTTGGGTAATTACAGCCACCCCCCTCAACTATATATTTATCTTACGAAAAGACCCCTCAAGAAGTAAATTTAGGGATGTTAATTCGGTAAAACCGAACCAAAATTTCGGTACGCCAACATTTCATACCGTTTACCGAACTAAATATACGATTTGGTTCGATAAATAACCGAATTACATAAATTTTACGTAAAAATATTTAAAAGGAGGGGGTGGCTGTAATTACCCAAACAAGAGGGGTTTTTTCGTAATTTGATCATACCTGAGGGGGGTGGCCGTAATTTACATGAGATTTTATTATGTTATTAGAATATATACATGATCGAGATATAACTATGTTTAAATATTTTTTATCTATGTTTTGAGTATTTATAAATAATATCTACAAATATATTATATTAAATTTTAAAAACCGATTTATTTCTGATTTATCACCGATTAATCACCGTCGCACCGATTAATCGTGAGTCGGTGCCTGACCGACTCGGACCCGATTACCGATTTATACAACCTTGATTTTTAGTATCGAAATCGATTCTTACGCGTTTTCTTTATTGCCGTGTGCAGCATAAATGGTATTTATACCCAAGGGAAGATAGACAACAACGGAATGAATATGCTATAATTAAGATTCCGCACCGACATCTGAAAGTTTTCGAGTTTCGTGGCTACTATGGTTGCAGCAATGACGCGGGATTAATCAGCTATGTGTTGGAGAATTGTGTCGTTCTTGAGAAAATAATAATCGATCACTGCTTTACATTGGGCAACAGCGATTCAGAATCGAAGAAGTGGAAGAAACTGCAAGAAAGAATGCGAAACAAAAGCTTGCACCACAAGTACCTCAACACATCGAATTGGTTATTCTTTAACTTAAACAACCATGTAACGATTTTGCAGTGTTTCGATTGTTTTTTTTTTTTTTTTTTTTTTATTCGAGTTGAAACTAAAGCTATCGACGAATCATCAAAAATATTATACATAAATTTGAATTTGAAGTGTATATAGCGTAAACTATAATTTCTCGGGATTGATGTCGAACGATCATGGATCTCCGTGAAACCTTTTTGTCGATAGGGTGCAGAAAAGAACGTATTAATGTATAACCAAATATCATAACCAAAACCAAATAGGCTATATTGTATTAATTTTATTTTAGCTCATCACCAAAATAAAATTATTCATATGTCAATTCATTAAATGCCCACATTGTAAAGTGGTCTTTTAGATGCTACACCGGGTAATTATTAACCGTTGATGTAATGCTATAACTTTCCACTAAGCATACATACACATGGGTGTGTGTGATTGCGTGCAGAGCAACAGTTAATAATTACTCAACAGTTAATAATTATCCAGTGTAATTCACTGGGTGTAGCCAGGGGCGAGTCCACCCTTGGGCAATGGTGGACTCACCCCCCCCCCCCCCCCCCAATTTATATTTATTACCGTATATTATACTTATATATCTAATTTAGCACACCCACTTTTATTAATTAGCCCACCTAAAATTTAAATTAATGCAAGTAAAGCTCCAATTTTTATTAATTAGCCCACCCAAAATTCAAATTAATGAAAAATACCCTACTTTTTATTAACTAGTCCACCCAAAATTCAGATTAATTAAAAAAAAAAACTCTAAATTTTTTCATATTTCCTTTTTTTCTTTTCCAATTTTCTGATTTTGTCAAAAAAAATCCTCAAAAAATTTCAAGGGCGTTGCCCTGAACCCCCGAAAATTTAAGTCCGCCCTGAAACAAATTCCTTGACTCTCCACTGGGTGTAGCACCAAACAAACCCCGTAAAGTGCACATTTAAAGCCCAATTCAAATAACTTCATTATTAAAAGATTCTTGTAATTTTGATATGTTTTATTTCACAGAAGCCCCCCATTAGACAAGTCCAGTTACATTAGGTCCACAAAAAATTCTCAATTTTAAGATAAATCCAAAATATCTTTTATTAATTAAAAAAAGTTAAGTTTCACCATTATACCCTTTAATTATTTATTCAACCCTAATTTTATTGCGTACAATAATTACCCCCTCTTACTCAAAAATAAAAAAATAAAAATCACAGGAAGAACAAATGGTAGCACCACCACACCGCCACCACCACCACGGAGGTTTTTTTTCTTACAACTTTTTTCCTCGTTCTGTTTTTTTGGTATTTACCACAAATTTGTTCTGATTTTCAGTTTTTTGGTTTGGGCTCTGTTATCTGAAAAAAAAACTTACTGTTTAATTTTTGGTTCTCCCAAACATGCTTTGAAGAATCATCGGCGGTATTACTTACACACCCACAGATGAGACATTCTTACTGGTTTGATGATGTTTTTTTGGGTTGGGGGTACTATATATTGTCTGAAAATGCACTTGTTGTTATTGTGTATGTTTTGAGCAACCTCCCCGTCCCCTTCCACCACCACCACCACCACCACCATATACACCACGCTCCGAGCAACTCTACATTCTTCCACCGCCGCCGCGCCGCCTCCGGAGAGGAATGTCTCCGCCGCTGGGATGGTAGCAGAGTGGTGGTCGGGAGGCACGAGATTCTGATTCGACCGTGGCCGCATCCGGATCCGGCGGAGGAAAAAAGAAAAAATAAACTAGAATGGCGTCGTGGAATTCAGTTAATCTGAAGGTGATTTACAATGTTTTGGGATGGATGACTTTTGTGTGTTGGTCCATCAGTTTTCACCCGCAAGGTTAATTTTCACTCTTTAATTTCTTCATTTCATTTTATTGATGATTTACATTATTATTCTGTGGGGTTCGGGTTTTGAATTGATTTGAATTTTGGGGATGCAGTGTGGTGGGGCTGAATTTGGACTATGCAGTGTTGGGGTTTGTGAAGCAATTGGCTTATCTGGCCAATCACAATTGTGTCCGTGGGATTACGAAAGTTTTCCCAAAGGGTTGTGTTGGATCGATTGAGCAATACGAGGTTTTAATATGCGTTAGCCTCATAGCAGAAACTAGTGGCCGGAAATGTGGAGTAGTTTTTAATAATTATTTATAGAATTTTATAGTGGTTTTCAATAATTATGTACATATTTTTATAGTGGTTTCAATAAGTTTTGTACATATTTTTATACAATTCTATATACATAGTGGTTTTCAAGTTTATATAGTTGTTATACATAGTGGTTTTCATGTTATATAGTTGTTATACATAGTGGTTTTCATGTTTATATAATTGTTTATATAGAGTGGTTTTCATATTTATATAAAGTGGTTTTTATTTAAAAAAATGGAAAGAAAAAAAAAACCATTTAAAAAAAATCGAAATTAAGAAAAAAGAAAAACCAAGAAAAAATGAAAATAAAAATAAAAACATTTTTTTAAATTAAAATAAAAAACATGAAAAATATATATAAGAAAAAAATAATTTAAAATAAAAAACCGAAAAAAAAATAATTACAAAATTTTCTTTTAAATCGAAATAAAAAAACCATTAAAAAAAAATAAAAAAGAAAAGGAAAAAAACTGAATTGGCGTGATGAGGAGAATAATTTTTGGAGAAGATTTGGGTGTAAATTATGAGTATAATTGGTTTTAAATTAAATAATTATACTCATTAATAATTAGTGGGGGCATATATGGTTTTTCAGGCCTATTGGACTTATCTCAAATGTCATTTATAAATAAAGGATTTATCAGGAATTAAAATCCCAATAAAGGGTGTTTGACATATAGCCCCATGTTAATATTAGTTGCGTAGTATAATTACAGTATTTAGAAGGGGTCAAAATGTAAATAACCAATTAATTAAGGTAGCGTAGCTCAAGACGCAATCAAAGTATTTATATATATATATATCGGGGTCGATTTGTTAAAGGGATAAAATCAGAAAACAGAGACGCACAAAATTACAGTTCAACACTCAATTCTCTCTCTCTCTCTCGTAGGGTTTTCTTCTCCTTCTCCGCAATTGTATTTTTATTTTTTGTTTCAGTTGAATTGTGAAAAATTCAATTCAATAACCCTAGAAATTGAACCCTAAGATTTATTTTATTTTTTTGGGGATTTTTTTGCAGTTTGTGGAATCGGGTTGCTTTTGCCGGACACCATGTCTAAAAGCTATTTCAAGTCGGAACATCCTCTTGGTATGAAATTCGTAACCCGATCCTTCGATTTAATCGTAATTACTTTATTTTTATTTTTATTTTTTCGAGTTTTGATTTCGTTGAATTGTGTTTGTTTGTATGGTCTGTATCTGTATTTGGATTTTATGTCTAATTTATGAGAAATTGGCTCCTCTCTTATTTTTTTTTATTCGCTTTGTTTCTTGTGATAATCTGTTGTTAAAAGAAATAATTTTAATTTTTTTTTTTATTTTTAATTTCATGATTAATTTATTGATAATGCATGCATTAGTTGTTATTAGAAGGTAATATGTTGGAAATCAAGCTGCAAAAAGTTTCAATGTTTACTCTTGATTATCGAAGTGCTCGTTCCTGTTTTCGTATGGAAGATATCGTTTTGGTCGAATTGTTTTGGTCGAATTGCGATTATTACTATTATTACAATGCTTGATTTAAAGTCTGCAAATCCGAATAATTATTGGAGGAGACAGAGCTTGAACGTTTTCTTCTTTCTTTTGTATTTTAAGTGTTAACAACTACGCTATTTTTTTCATTTTAAATTGCTGCAGAGAGGCGACAGGCGGAAGCTGCTCGTATTAGGGAGAAGTACCCAGATAGAATTCCGGTTTGAAAAACATCAATTCTTATTAATACCCGCCTTATACTTTTCGGGTTCTTGATTTTTCAACCTCTTTTTACCAATACTCAACTGCATACGTATCTTATGTAAATGTAGGTTATTGTCGAGAAGGCTGAAAGAAGTGACATCCCAGACATTGACAAGAAAAAGTTAGTTTACTCTTTCAATTCATAGCTTCAAACTCGAATCGTATGCCGTTTTATGTTTAATATTTATTCGATAAAATTTCTACACTTTTCTCTCATTCATTAGTTTTTCGGTTTCCAAATTCCGAAAAAATAAAGAGAATGAAATTTTGGGATGCATCCAATATTGAGGGAGGAAACTAAGCTGCTACGACTTTTTTTTTGGTGACAAATGATGAATTGGGCCTTCTTCGTAATTGATTATAATAATTGAATTAAAAAATGCAGATATCTAGTTCCGGCTGATCTTACGGTTGGGCAATTTGTTTATGTTGTCCGTAAAAGAATTAAGCTCAGTGCTGAGAAAGCAATCTTTATCTTCGTCAAAAACATTCTCCCTCCTACAGGTAAGGAGAAAATTTACAAGCATTGATCCTCGTATATAATATATATATATAGTTTTCGTTTTTTGAAGTACGATTCTTGTGTGTTACTGCAGCTGCAATGATGTCTTCAATTTACGAGGAAAATAAAGACGAGGATGGTTTTCTATACATGACTTACAGTGGAGAGAATACGTTTGGATTGCTCTGAAACTGAACAAGTCGAGTTGAACTATCTGTGTATACATCAATAACATGTATAGTATCGTTGCTTATCTCTTATGCGTTTTTTTCCTTTTTCGAAAGATTGTTCGTTCCAATTGACATCAAAGACCTTTTTTGAATTGGAATATTTTATTGCTATGGTGACACTTTCGGTATAATACTGAAATTTCCCTTCGATTTAGTAGCAGGTATATATATATATATATATATATATGGTATCTGTTTTGGTTTTTTATGCAGGAATATATGGTTATGTTGCTTGTTCTAAAAGGATCTACTTACTATAATTTGGATTTGAACCATCTTGAAACTTATAATATTATAAATCAAGGGTAAATTATGGCCACCGTGAGGTATGACCAAATTACGAAAGAAAAAACCCCTCTAGTTTGGGTAATTACAATCACTCTCTCCTTTTAAATACTTTTACATAAAATTTATGTAATTCGGTTATTTAGTGCTAAATTGTATATTTAGTTCGGTAAATGGTATGAAATGGTTTTCTCGAATTAACATCCCTAAAAATTTACTTCTGGAGGGGTCTTTTCGTAAGATAATACATAGTTGAGCGGTGGTTGTACTTACCCGACAGGGGGGGGGTTTGTAATTTAACTATAACCTAGGGGTGATCGTAATTTGCCCTAAAATCAATAGATTTAGGGTAAATTACCATCCCTAAGGTAAGGTCAAATTATGAAAATACCCCTCCTCTTTTGGGTAATTACAATTACACCCTCAACTATGAATCGTCTTGCACTTTCAGTCTCACGATGGCAAGGTAAAACGGGTACAAATTAGAGAATATTCCACAGAGGATAGAAAATTCCATTAAAATTGACATAGTAAGAGTGGACTTCTAAGATGATTCATAATTGAGGTGTAGTTGTAACTACCCAAAAAGGAGGGGGATTTTCGTAATTTAACCTTACCGCATAGGTGAATTTAACGGTGTTTTACTAGGAATGACATTGTTTGAGAGTAGCAAAAAGATATGGTTGGATGGATAATATTTAACAATTGATCACATTTTTTTGAAGTACCAAACACTTTACATGCAGATGAGTTGCTTTGTTCAACTATCAACAAACGAGACTCAGAAAGTCTTGAGGTTTTAGATATAGTCTGAAATACTTATTGCATCTCCAATGTTGTACCATTCAACTGTCTGATTGTTCGTCGGGAAAAACTCGAGCAAACTGGATAAGTCGTCGGGCATTATCGTGTCCATGTTCTCCTGCTCCTGCTCTTCCTTTAGCTCCACTTTTCCTGAATAAGACATAACCTGTCATTTATTTAGGTTTTGTTTACCTTTATGTATATATATATATATATATATATATATATATATCAAGAACTCCCCCAAAAAAAAACCTTTTACGAAACTTGCCTGATTCGTAGTTCCAGCAGTTCTTTGATTCCGTTGGATTTGCAAACGAGTCGAACCCTTGTGTAGGCAATGTCTGATCTTGAGAAACCATTTGTGCTTGTGTCCATAAGTTTTGTTCTGCACTAGGTTCTTGTTCCATGGCTGTTGGCTGAGTAAGCAAATAGCCGGAATCTAGCGGATCGGGCCCAGTGTACTGGTTCGGTGATATTAAATTCGGGTCACAATAATCGGAGAAATAATCTTGTCCGCTGGTATAACCGAATTCTTCACCGCCTTGAATCTCATACCTTTGACCGAACAAATCTTCCTCAAAAAAACTGTCTTGCATAGTGGAGCGTTCGTTCGAGCATTTACCTGTGGGACCCACAATCGGACACAGTACATCATCGCACGAATTTGAATCGAGAAAGTCTATCCAATCACTTTGCTCGTTGAATATTTCACCCAACGTGTCTTCTTTTATCTGCAATGTTTCTGCCGACAAAGATTCTGAATTTTCGTTCTGTTGTACCTTTTCCAAATCCTCTCCTTTATCTCTCCTGGCAGTTTTAACTTGTGAAACACCGCTCGCGTCGCCTTTTCTTTTCAGCGACTCTTTTTTCGTCGAGTTTTTAAGATGTGCATGCACTTTACCAACAACGTTCTTTGTCGTTTGCTGCTTAAGTTTCTTCTTTAGGAATCGTACCCTCTCTTGAGCTTCTCTCAGTTCCTCCATTACCTCCAAATTACTGTCACCTTCTTCCACTTTATGCACGCCACCACTATTATCGACTCCTTGCTGATAAAATTTGAACGAAGGGCAGTTTTCTAATACGGGAGGAGGTGAATTATTAGTGACGAAATTATCAGTATCAACTGTCATTGGTTGAACACAAGGCGAAAATGTTGAATCTGGGACCGATAAATTAGACTGGAAACAAGATTCTGAAGGCGCAGGCATCGACAAACGCAATTGAAGTGGTGAAAGTGGAGCTGACATCGGTGATTTCAATTGGAAAGGAGAAAATGAAGCCGTCGGAGAATCTTTTGTCTCCATACTTGTCTGCACAGAATACACCGCACGAGAAGAAGAATCCGCAATAAGAGAATGTGATCTCGAGAATCGCCTAAGAGTGCTCTGCGGAGATGAAAGAATCGGGGGCTTTCTCAGCATGGTAAAATCGAGTGGGGTTTCGGTTGATTGGATTGTATGGTGTGGGGATATAATAAGCAAGTTTTGAGGAGTTTGAGAAGTAGGGGTATTTTGGTCATTTGTGGGGCTATGTTTCTGAGATGTTACGAGGCTGCTAGGTGAGGAGAGGAACTGCGACGACTGTGGCATGGAAATTGATATCGGAGTTTGAGGTGAATTTTGAGTGACGAAATCTCCGCTACTGTTTGAGAAAAAACGATCACCGTCATTAGCGACGGATTCATCTTTGTCGGTGATTCCGCTTGTGTGGTTTTCGTTCGGGTAGATCGGGAGGTGGTGTTTTTGGCATTTCTTGGCTCTCTTGTGCCAGAAATTCTTTATCTCATTGTCTGATCTACCTGGCAGCTACAAAAAAAAAAAAAACAAATTCATTCGGAGGAGTTGCATTATGCATGATTGATTCTGTTTTGAGGGTGCAAAGTGCTATTAATGGGTTTTCGAGGGTGCAAAGTGCCAAATAACTATATTTCAGGGTTCAAAGTGGGATTAAGCTAATCATAATTAATATATGATTGATTAATTGGGGAGATTAAGTAAGTAATTAATTACCTTGGCGGCAATACGAGACCAGCTGTTGCCATGTTTAGCATGCAAATGAAGGATTAATCTCTCTTCATCCTCCGTGAAGGGATACTTTTTCAGATTGGGCCTCAAGTAATTCAGCCACCGGAGCCTGCAATTCTTAGCGGGCCGGGCCAGGCCCGACAATCTCTCGATGGTGACCCAGTTCCTCAGCCCGTATTCATCCACCGCCCTAATCAGCTTCTCGTCCTCCTCCTTGCTCCACGCCCCTTTCCTGTACACCACCACCGCCGGCTGATCATCTCCGCCGCCGTGGCCCGTCCCCATTTCCGCGCCGCCGCCGCAAGACGACGTCAGCGTGTGCGAATCCACAGCCATCGAATCTCCGAGTTTTTCGAGGCGAGGAAATGAAATTGGGGGGAGATCGTCGTCCGATCGGGGAACCGCAACAAGAAATTGATCGCGGAATTCCAATTTCTTGTTGGGTTGATGATGATGATGGACATTTCGGAATGTGGTTTTCGTGGGAAATGGATTAATATAAATAAAATTAAAAAAAAAATTAAAAATTAAAAAAAAAAAACATGGATTAATTTGGCCCTGAGATTATTACCAGGTTGTGAAAAATTCAAGGAATTTTAGGGAAGAAGGGTTCTAAGAGAAAGGATTAAGACGTGGGGTTTATATTTAGGTCAAACCTACTGAGTTTTCGGCGGGTTCATGCTTTCAATATTTATAATATTTAATATTATATTTAATTAATTAATTCATAATTAACTTAATTTCACCTTGCACCATTGAAAACTACCGTTTTGGCACTTTGCACTCTCAAAAGTAATTTATGACATTTTGTACCCTCAAAATATGTTTAATCATTCGAAGTGCAGCATAGTCTATTTTCCGGCCATAATTTTCCGTCGTCGACTTATTTTCTGATAGTCAACGTGGTCATTTGTGGCTATTCAATTGTTTTTGTCTTCGGGGTGCAGAATGCAAATGTATTTTGAATCGAGCTAAAATAATTCTGTTGACAATTAGAAAATTGGTCAACAACGGAAATTGTAGCTGGAAAATAAAGTAGGATGCAATTTAAACATGTTTTAAGGGTCTACAGTGCCATAAATTATTTCCAGGGGTGCAAAGTACCAAAATTGTACATTTTCCAGGGGGCAAGGTGAAATTAAGCCATTCCATAAATATTCTCAAACCATACCTAAGAATATACATACAGAAAACAAAATCATTTTCCTTTTCTTGAACATCATGAAACGTGACAGCTCCAGTAAAAGTTCAAAGAGGAAAAATCATGTAACATAAAAAAAAAAAAAAAAAATTAATAATAATAATAATTGTTCTAAGCTAATAATCCTCGTTTAGTCAGATTTAAGCTCATTACATAACTCATCCCTCTGCCTTCATTTCTTTTTATCTTCTTCTGCCTGCTCTAAAAACTCAACCGAATCGCCGAATAGAACTCGTATAAATCAACACATATATCAAGAGAAACGCTCTCTCTTCCTCGTTTGGCCCCAATCGGAAATACACACCCATTTTCTTCCGTAGTGCACTTTAAAGAAGAGTATATATATTTTATTTTTCAGACAGCATTGTCTTAGAGTTGAAGAGCCAAATCGGGCTGCTGTGAATCAACCATGACACCGGAGTTGGGCCTACCGGGCGACCCGGATGACTGAAAATCAATATTTAAATCCGGGGGAAGTACCGATTCTTGTTTCTGCCTCGAATGCATCTGCGGGCTAATATTCCTCCAATGAGAATGATGGTGCAGCTGGAACCTCGACAAATCAGCAGTCGCCATCTGTGGTAAAACCATTCGTTGCTGATTTTGGAACTGCGCTTCATTCCCCACCATCATATTTACCGAGCCTCGAGGCACAAATGCATGAAGAAGCTGTGAACCGCCGTTCTTGCTGTCTTGCTCGTGAACAACATGCATCCCAAATCTCGATACTTGCGTCTGAGTATCGCGAGTCGAGTTATTATTATTATTATAGGGAGAATCTGCGTATATCTGGTTCTTGTTGAAGAGATTCGTATTCTCTGCAACGGGTCTGCTATTAACGAACCCTCCTCCTGCACCTACAGACATCCATGCACGAGCAGCTGTTATAGCAGCATTGTTCGAATCGTTTGGTAAAACTTGAGGAACGATTTGATTCGGCTGTTTCTGTTGGTTGTTGTTACGACCCTTTTCAGACAGCATTCTCATCATCTGGACCGGGTCGCTCAGACCCTGACCCTGACCCGGTTTCGCCACATCAGCGGACAAACGGGCTATTGTATTACCAACTACTTTTTTATCGTCGGTTAATTCTCGAAAAGCGACTTCGTTACTATCGGGCTGTTTGAAAGATCCGGAAGGTGAGAAGTTTTGGGTTTTCGAAGAAACCTCCATCGGTCTAGAAGCTTCCATTTCTGAAACCTTGGAAATATGTCTGTTGTTGCCAGTAGAATTAGCTGCTGCTGCATTTTTGTTTAAAAAGGGTTGACCGTTGGATTCGACTTTGTTCCGGAAGGGTTGACCGTTGGATTCGACTTTCCGGACATTTTTATCTGATTCGACGAAAGGCCTCGATTGTAGATTTTGATGGTGGTAGCTGACATTATGAGCACCGGTAATAGGTTTAATCGCGGGAGATAAAAAGAAAGATGGCTTCGTTTCTGGAATATTCTGGAATATACCGGGAGAAGAAGAAGGCGGTGGTGGTGGTGGTTTAATACCAGTAGGACCAAGAAAGGGCAACTTTTGTTCTAAGAAAGGTACACTACTACATGGGCTTTCCTTATTAGCAGAAACTAAGGTAGTCGGAACTTTTTTATCAAACTTCCTCGGATTTTGCTGTACTTTCGCTAAATATGGTGGTTCCTTCACGGTACAGTTTTGCAGCATTAAGACAGGAGTTGGAAGTGGTTCGTACTCTCCAACCCAGCCTTGTCCGAATTTAAAACCTTCAGGTAGCGCTTGCTCGATCCTGTTAGAAGCAACTTTCCAGGCAACAGATCCAATATTTGCGGCAAAACGAGACATGCTCCTAGCATATGAATGATCAGAATACAGCCCTACCTGGTTGACGAAAAATAAGAACAAAATCATAAATAAAAAATAAAAAATAAAAAATTTAAGTAATGCTCGATGTAATAAAGCCCGAAAATTAATCTTACAGGAACCAGCTCCTTGGTTTCCGCATCGAATGTTGAGAATATAGATTCCGTGGTGTCCACAGGTTGAGATAGTGATGTGCTATACGTCGCACGCCGATTCTCACCGTACACAAATGATTTCCTGACAAAACGAGACGTTGGACCCTTCCCTACAGACATAAGACATCCCAGATTACTTGTGCTGACAAATTACAAAGTCGGAACAAAACATGTTTAAGGAAAGATGCCGACAGTATCCAGTTACGAGATTTAAATTAGATAGATACCTGGGGTTGATTCTTCTGCCTTGTCTACATTACTATCGTTCAAGAAAGAATTTGACTCAACTAGCCCATCATTACAGCTACTAGGTTTCTCAGACACAGACTGATGAAGTGCGTACGGAACATTCTGGATTTCTCCGGGTGTTGCAAGAGTAGCTCCAGACGAGAAATCAGAGCCGACGGGTTCTTGCAATGTACGGCTCAACGATCTTTTAATTTGCTTCTTCAAGATAGAGGCGGATCTCGTTTTCTGCTCGGGCTTTACCTCTTTCTCAATTCGTTCGACATTTAATCTTATTTTATGGAATTTCCTTGTAGCCAGCTCTTGGATGGTGCGCGCCTATTGCAAACGAATAAAAAATAATCCGATAATACCTTAATAGAGATCGAACATAAGAAAGAGAAATAAAACATGCGCGTAATTACCTGTTTGTGATATACGGTATCTGGTGCATTGTATAGCATTGCGTTGGAGCAAATGAGAAAAACGTCGTTCTGCATTAACATTAACATAAGACAAACTTTGATCTCGTTTTTTTTTTTTGTTCAAACGTAACTCAAAGCATTCCACAGGACACGAAAACTAGGATAACCGATTCACAATTGAACCGACACATACCTCGAATTGTTCGAAGGTTGCATATGATCCATTACCGAGCTTGTTCCTCACCGTAGCAAAGTCCATTGGATTTTTTATTACATCATGGTAATCTGGGAGCTACAACAACAACAATAAATCGACTAATTTAGAAAATCCTGTCCGAAGAAACACGATACAACTCAAAAACATTCCTCAAAGAACTTACCTCTTCCGGATCAACTGGTTCTGCATAAACACCATAAATATCTTTCCTGCTCAAAAAAGAAGGACGAAAACAGATCACTTCACCATTACAAAGAGTTCATGCAAGAAATCGGACACATGTAAGCAGTTTCATACGGAAGTAGACACGTACTTTTGAAGTTTGTCCAGAATCAACTCCAAATCCCTCTTATCGGGCATCGGCAGCCCAGTCAACGGTCCCTCTGTCGGTGTCCCTATATTATATATAAAAAATAATCAAGAAAATCCTGAAATTTTGAGTAAGCTCACGAAATCCGAATCTATGACGAGATAGAAAGAAAAAAAACACACACAAACACACACCTGGAAGTGAGTCTTCACCTCTGCTTTCTGGCTTTGTTTCTCGTACCTGCAAAAAATCAGCACAATCATTAAACAGCATACACAAAAAACATTCATCATCAATGAATAAGTAAATGATAAGCAAGTTAATGCACATTCCCATGCAGCTAAGGAGAACAAAAGTTGGCAGATAGAGACAGAAAAACAAAGAACAGACAGACAGACAACATGCGTGAATGAGTGGGGAACGTGAGTATGCGTACAATACAACGTTGTCTGTCTGTGACACTCTGTTCTAGAGAGAGAGAGAGAGAGATAGAGGTAGAGAGAGAAAGGGAGGGAGGGTCATCAGATTCTGGGGGTTAGTTATTTGACAGTTGACCCAACCCGTTACACATACACACATCAACACAGACACCCTTCAAAATCTATCACTGACCTATACATACACTATCTATATATATAAATTGGGGCTGGACCAATTAGGATAAACCCCTTTTCACTCTCGTATCTTTTTGTACTAGTGTAAATAAATAAACTCGTGCTGTTAAATTAATGCACTTCACTCCAATCCAGCTTCATTTAATCCCCAAATTTCGTCGATTTCCAATTGAAGATCGGAAGAAGTAATTAATGGTAAATCACCTCATCTTCTTCGTCGTCATCGTTATAATTACGTTCCTCAATGTCCGTATCCATATCCTCGTCGTCGATTCTCCGCTTCTTCGGCGGTTTGTCGTCGTCGGAGGACGCCGATGTCGCCGGCGCGTGCTCCACGCGCCTTGTCCTGCTGGCCTGTGGGATGTTAGTTGACTCGCGCTCGCCGCCGGTGGTCTGGAGCTTGAGCAGTAGCTCGAGCTTCTTCTCCCGCCGACTGCCGTCGTCGCCGTCGTCGTCGTCCGCGAAGACCTCGTCCTCGTCGAAGTAATCGTCGAGGTCGAAGACGTACTTCACATTCCGGCGGCGGAGGCTCCGCCGTACGTCTCGCTCGGGCTTCGTCAGCTCACGAGCGCCGGGATCTGCCGCGGCTGGCCTCCCTTTCTTCTTCCGCTTCACGATCTGCCCCATCTTCAACTCAAGCTCTGGTTTCTCTCTCTAGAAAAAAATAATCAACGACCTCCACTCTCTTTCTCTCTCCTCCTTTATTATCATTATTTGGGGAAGCGGTGCTCGTTTGGTCCTTTGTATTTCAATTTGGGTAAAATTCATTTTGCACCCCTGTACTATGATACATATATCGTTTAACCCCCTGAAGTA